TGGGCTCTGTGGTGAATTGGGGAAAACTTAGAACAAAAAGGCAGAACTTCAACCTTCTAGAGCCCTCTTCCAGGCTGGCTCATCCTGTTTTGGGCAAATACTCTATAAACTTGTCTCTTTTATCATAAAAATGATACATTCACATTTGGAACACACACACATGTACACAGCTTTAATACTTTCCCCAAACTGACAATTTGGTAGTAGTTTTGACTTTTGTCTCTAGAAAGTTCTTGGGTTGGCCCAGACCTGGCTGTCACATCTTTCCAGCTCAGAGATTAAAAAAAAATGCACAGAGCTTTGTATCATTCGAAACTGTATAGAGATGGATGCTCTTTAAGGACCAGGTGTGAAGAACAAACGCCATGAGGGAACTGTGGACCTCTGTGGCAGACTCAAAGAGGCACCAAGGAATAGAGAATACTTGACAGCATGAAAAGAGCACATTTGTTGTGGTTTGAATGTACAATGTCTCCCATAGCCTCAAACAGTTAAAGACTTGGTCCCAGCTATTGGTGCTATTTTGGAAGGTTGTGGAAGCTTTAGGAGTAGAGCCTTGCTGGAGAAAATGGTCACTGGTGACAGAAGTTGAGGTTTTCTAGTTCATCCCTACTTCCTGTCTCCTCTCTGCTTCCTGCCTGCAGACATCATGTAGCAGGTGCCTCACTCACACTCCTGCCACCTTGATTTCCCAACCATGATGGACTATTATCATTTCACAGAATATGTGAGCCAAAATAAACCCTGAACCTCAAGTTTCTTTTGTCAGCTCTTTACTCATATGAGCAAGAAAGGAAACTAACTCAGCATTCTAATTTGGGAAGCAGGCAAGAAGGAAGAAAAACTTGGGGTGTTGGTTCTGATCCTAACACCTATCCATTGAATAGTGACCTGGATTGTGGTCAGACTTTGGGGTCAAACAGACTTGAGTGTAAAGTCCCTGTTTGGGTGCCACCTGCCAGGCTCCCAAGGAGGAGGTGTGGAGTCAGTGTGGGAAGAATGGAGACACACACAGGGTTGTGTTGATTACACATTATCTCTGTCTTTTTAAGAGAAGACCTCTTTTATTTATCCTTCTAATAATGAAAACATGAGTTTTATATAATCAATCCCCAAGAACTTTCAAGATTACATCAAAATGTTTCCTATCCCCTCTACTCACTTTTTCCTTCCATGTCTGGGGAACAAAGGTTAGTCCCAGGCCATCAATTCTGCACTCAAAGAGCACCACTCTTCCTGGCAGGCAAGGTAGGAAACAGCTGGCCTCTGAGGTTAGCAAGTGATTATTCTGGACCACCATCCTTTGTGGTTACAAGATGCTAGACATTGAATCTTAAACAAATCCAAAAGAGTTACTTTCATTCTTCAAGAGGCCTTATATAGCATGATAAGCATTAAGTTTTCTGGGTTTATTTATAAGTACACTTTCCCCATGTCCCTTTGATCTTACACCAACTATTTTAGACATAAATGTAGACTTTAAGCCTTCTCTGGGTAATCAGATGTTCCCAAGTTTCCTGTAGCCAATGTACCAATGAGTTCCTAATATCATCTATCCATGAAATATTTCCTGAAATCAGTGCCTCTCAAAATATAATCAACAGGACACATTAAGTATTCTATAGTGGGTTCAGATAAAGTAATTTCTTTTACAGCAGTTGAGGTAGTCATAAGATTATGCTGAGTAGGAGTGAAAGAAGTATAGGAACTTTTATCTGTTTCCATAGTATTCCCATTAGTTTCATTTTTTCACACATTCCCCAGAGGAATTGTTCTCCATCCTCTCGTTATTCTCCTATGCCCAAATCACCATGAAAATCCTGGTAGCAACAGCAGCAAGACCAAGAAGAGACTCAGAACCAGACATCATTCTGGGGAATAATAGGAGATAGAGTGGAATCTTCTTGCTGGGTCTTTGTCATACAGCAAGGAGCTCAACAGGACTCTGCCATATAACAAGCCATCCACTCTACACTCCTGTGCTGATCCTGGCAGATGCATGGGTCCTGCCAGCCACCCTTCCAATTTACAGCTGCTTGATTTTTTCCCTTCCTTCACTTTGTAGTCACTATGAATATAAAATACGATAACAGCTACCATGTGTCTGGCACCCTACAACAGCAGGTAGTAAGACGTTCATTACAGTATCACATTTTGTGACATCATTGTCCTTGCTGGGAATCTCAGTTTGTCAGTTTGCACATTCCTGCTGAAAGTTCAGCTCTAGAGAAGATGAAGCTGATGGCATCATCCAGAAGCAGGCAATGTGACCCTTTCCATTTGTTCCTCACTGAGGTTCCTGAAAACATTTAGCACCATCTTCCTTAAAGTTTGGCTTATTTTCCATATCAACAGCACCTTTCTCCTGAGAACCTTAAATGTTCTGACTATATTTTCATTCCAAAACCTTCATGAACCGTGTCAGATGGTGCCTGCTCCTTGCTTGGGAAATGCAGATTCAAAACCAGAGCTAAGTCACCTTCTCTTGAATCAAACACACCTCTTCCCATCCATGCCTCCAGCAGCTCCTCTATCTATGCAGGAGGAGTCCATCACACTTGCTCTTTACTTTCAAATCCCAGAGGATTCATAGCCATGGTTCTCTATGGGAGCTCAATCCCTCCACTCCACAGAAGCACCAATGGAGATCCTCAGGGACCAGGCAAAAGCAGAAGCTTGCTTCAGCAATGAACCCACAAGTTCAGGGTCCATACATCCAGCATCCTTTAAATCAGGTCTCATTGGCCGTGGTTAGCAGGGGACAGAAAGCACAAGGGTATTTTACACTGGTAAGCCTCTTAATCCTTCCCAGTGAAAGAAGCAGCAGATTAGGGCAGTGTCAGCTGACAGAATCACTGAAAGAAATCTCTGGAAGTCCAGGGTGAAGTGCATTGAAGAGAGGCAGGTATGCCTGTTCCCTTTTTTGTTTGGAAGCATAGAAATGCATGGCATCAATTTCTTGGTAATTGCCCCAATGAAGCAGCACTCTGACCAGGAGACTGCTGAGTATGTGGGTAACTCTTGCTTAGCAGGGGAAAAGCACTGAAATGGGCCTTTGCTGTGTCTTTAGCACAGGCTTTATATACCAGACACTTCTGATGTTCTGATGTCTTTAAAGTAGAATTCTCATAATTGATTGTCAAACCTTGCTGCCTCATTCCTGTTGGAGACATCTTTGTTGTTCTTTCTCTGGACTTTGTGTAGCTCCTCTGTCCCCTCAGCTCTTCACAGTAGCCCTGCAAAGTTGTTTTGTGTTTTTCTTTCTGTTGGGTCTGGGTTTTGATTTAGTTTTGTTTTTTTTTTCCGAGATGGCATCTCACAGTAGAGTTCATAGCCTATCCTTGACCTTACAGCAGTTCCCTTGCCTTAGTCTTCTCAATTGAGACATGCTTAGCCACCAGGCCCAACTTAGCTTTGCAAAGTTGCTCAGGGCTTCCAGGAGCAGGAACTGCTGAAAACTGAAGATGGCACCACCCCAGGTACCCCACATACACCTGAGTTTCCATTGTCCCTGTGTTTTTTCTGTTCTTTTCACCAAACACTAATTTCTTTATTTTCTCACCCACTCCAAGACCCCAGTAAGTTATGTGTCTTTCTGCCTGCCTGCCTGCCTGCCTCCTGTCTGTCTGTCTGCCTATCTTTCTTTCTATCTATCTATCTATCTATCTATCTATCTTCTATCTATCTATATCTATGTATATAAATATATATAAAGTCAATAAGTTCACAAATCAAACCTGGAGCTTCAGTTTCTTCAACAGGAAGTTGCACAAGGGGGCTAAGAGAATTCTGAAAGGTGCTTAGCACACCAGAATGTGTCAATAATTGTAGTTATTTCTCATTTTAATGCTTGTTTGAGTGTTCCTTGGGACCAAGCTTCTGAGTATGATCAGTGTTTTAGGAGACCCATAAGCTTTTTTAAGCCTTTGCTGAGAAAGAACATCATAAATTTGGACTAGAAGAGTTCAGATGTTATATTATAGTCCCACACATACTCAGCCCATTCATTTTGCAATATGTATTCTGTCTTGCTGTGGCAAAATACTTGAGGCTAAGTACTTACAAAGAAAAGAAATCCATTTACTTCACAGTATTAGAAGCTGTAAATCCAAAATGTAGGAGCCTGTTCAGACTCTGGTGAACTGGGTGTTTGACAAGGGGAACAGAAATACATGTGAATGTTGGGAACCAAAGGACCCCCTTTGCTATCAAAACATGACAAGGAATCAAAATGTAAAACAGCTTCACATAGAAAAGGAATCAAGAACCTCTCTCTGTGTGTCTGTCTGTCTGTCTCTTCTTGTTCTTTTTTGGGGGGATTGGTTTTTTGAGACAAAGTATCTCTCTGTTTTGTTCTAGAACTCACTATGTAGACCAAGCTGGCTTTGAACTCACAGAGATCCACTTGCCTCTGCCTCTCAAATGCTGGAATAAAAGGTGTGCTCCATTATGCCAACCTTCACCTGTCTCTTAAATGAAAGGCACTGGACTTCCAAAAGAAAGCAAGATGTCTGGTGAGAAAGGAAGCCAAGGGAGTAATTTTTTAATAGTTTTAATTTTTAATTAAGTAATTTAATAATTCCCACACTGGCAGGAAAACTACCCTCATCCCTTCTAAGTGTAGCACCCCACATGACTGAGGTACCTTCCCCTCAGTCCTGTCTCTTAAAAGTCTCAACAGTGCTGCACAGAGGACCTGGCTTCCAACACATGAACCCTGGGGGAAAAGCCAGCCAAGCCATAGCACCTTTGAGGATGAATCTGAAGCCTAGAGTGGGTGGGGATGAATGTGCGGGTTAAAATGGGAAACATGTCACCCAATCAGCTGCAAGCAGAGGAAGACTAGAATCAATAAGGTGGGTGTTCTGTGTCTGTTTTACTGGTAAGAAATTTAATCATATTTAGTCAAAATTTGGATTTGCAGCTGATTGACCAGGACATGTTAGAAACAGAGGCTCAAAAGTGGCATGCTGATGCTGCTTTCTTCCCCTCTCTTCCAGACTCCAGATGCTAGAGGCCATCTGTAAGCACTGGGAGGGGCCCATCAGCTTGGCCCTCTACCTGTCCGACGCCGAAGCTCAGCAGTTCCTCCGCTACGCCCAGGGATCCGAGGTGCTCATGAGCCGCCACAATGTGGGCTACCACATTGTGTACAAGGAGGGTCAGTTCTATCCTGTCAACCTCCTACGCAACGTGGCTATGAAGCACATCAGCACACCCTACATGTTCCTATCTGACATTGACTTCCTGCCCATGTATGGGCTCTATGAGTACCTCAGGTAAGGACCCCAGTGGACCTGGCTACTCTGTCCACTCTTCAGGCTGGTAGCCACATAGGATAATGAAGAGCTAGACCTGAAGATCCTCAAGACCATTGTCTAGTTTGCCACTTAGCTTTTATAGGTAAGGCAACTGCAACCCCAAAAGGGGCAGGGGCCTGCCCAAAGATTGTTCCTGCCTACAGGTTTGGAAGGTGCATACAAAGTTCTATTATACCATGCGTAGACTGGACCTGAGCTTCCATTGTGGCATGTTAATTTGGTCTAGAAAGATTCCTTTTGCTCAAAAAGCCTGCCTCTCTTCCAATTTTACAGCAAACAGGCTTCCTGTAACCATTCTCAAAAGATCACTGCCTGCTCTTTAAAACAAACCTAAGTAATAATGATGCCGAACATGTATTGAAGCACTTGTTGTGTACCAGAAAGTGATTGACAGATAAGATCTCATTCTGTTTCCTCCTCTCATAGTCCTTGCCACAAATCATATTGTTGTCTTCATTTTACAAATGGAAAACTGCAGAACAAGACTGGAAGATGCTGGCCTATCTTGCATAGCTAGAGCAGAGGGAGCTAGGGAGTCAACAATACAGTTCACCTAATCTCAGAACCATATGAATCTCCTCCAGTGTCCTTTTCCACCTATCCCTACATGGCAGGGCAGAAAGGAGTACATTAGTACAAGGCTGGGTGGCTCTATAGGGAATTACGTTTATTGCAGCATCATAAACAGTATGAATTGAAAGGGCCTATAGAATCCATACAGCTTGAAACTGGCCCCACAGCATTGTTAAAGGGTCCTTTTCCAACTGTCATTTGTCAGCATGGATTTCTTCTGTGTCTAAGATAGTGCCTGCTGGGATCCACATATTCCTAAAGAGGGTTTATACATCTTATCCTTTTAAGATGTACATACTAAACCTCAAAAGCATGCGAGGCTGCCTGGTATTGCATCATAGGCCAATAAGGCTTGGAGAGGCAAAATAGCAGGCTTGAGTCTGGAGAACTTGGAGCCACAGAATTTGAAGCAGTATCTGACAGGCCCCTCTCTCAGACCTTGCCTAACTGCTCTGGGGTTTCTGGCTGCCCCATGATATGATCTCTAGAGATCAACACACACACCCTTTCTCTCCTGCCCTTCCCCTTTTCCTTCCCTCTCCCTTTTTCCTCCCTCCCTTCCTCCCTCTCCAGCAAGGGAAGACATCCTACATTCTCTATTCAACCTCTGGCTCATTAGAGTTCCACTACAAGGTGTTGTTTAAGGTAGCATGACATCAGTCCCTTCCTGGTAAGCAAGGAAGAGCCCCATCAGCTGTCAGGGAACCAAAGAGTGACTGACCCCAAGCAATATAACCTTCCACCACAGAAGTGGATGGAGCTGTGATACAAAGCCCTGTGAGTGAATTAGGGCTCCTGACTCTGCCAGACTTCATTCATTGATTTTTCTCCAGGTCTATCTCCAGCTAGGTGACAAAATTCCAGTATGTAGTACAAGGAACACCCCACCCCATGTAATCAGAAGAAATTCTCAGCTCTGTCTTGTCCCTGTCAGCTTGGGAATTTTGACAGTTAGCAAGATGCTAGGCTACATACTGGAGAAATAGCTAGATAGTTAGGGCCATCCTCAGCTTAGACTGAGAAGAGAGAGGCTGGAGGACTGTGCTCTGCCTGTCCTTCACCTTCTGGGATTTTCCTAAGAAGACCCAAGGGGTCTTTAACCACAATAAATTGAAAGTAAACTGGCCCTACTCTTGTCTCAGTGGCCGATTTCCCAACTTTACCTGATGGCAGCATGTTTTACAACAAAGCACATAGGAATAGGTGTTTATGTTTCCTTCCTATGTGTCATTGGACAAAGACTTAAAATTGCTGATGGAGATCATACTCAGTGCTAGGCAACATGTGTTACCACCAGCTGTTTTAATTAGTTCAAGGGTCACCATATGAATCTCATCAGGAATTTTGGGATATTGCAGATTGCCCCTCAAATTCCATCACTTTCTTTAAAGACTTTGCCCAGGAAGGGTACTATTCAAAAGACTCCGTAGGCCTATTTAAACAAGAGCCATCTCCCCAGGTATGGAATTACCTCTCTGTTGGAACAAGATTGGAATTACTAGCTTTTTATGTTTTTCAAGAGGATCTAAATTTTCATGTATTTTAATATTAGCAAATAATTGGGAGCTGGAAAAATGGCTCAGCAGTTAAGAGCACTTGTTGCTCCTTCAGAAGACCCAGGTTCAGTTCCCAGTACCCACATGGTAGTTCACAGCCATCTATTACTCCAGAGAGCTGGCCTTCTCTTAAACTCAAGGTACATTGGAGAGCAATATGCTATTACTGGTTTAAGATGAGATTAAGGGTGCTATTTGCTGAAATATCTGTGGTGTCCAAGAAGGCCAGCAGACCCTGGCAGAGAGCCACTTTTCACACGTAAATAGGACAAAAATGTTTTATCCAAACACTGTTAACCTTCAGATAGTAATACCTCAAATACGACACACTGGAAGCCCTGCCTTCTGAGTTGAACATTTCTACAGGTGACTAAACTTAGGTTCCAAGGAAATGAAGGAACAGTATCACAGAGAAGAAAAAGTGGCCTTCATCTGCATAGTTTGCTCATTGGAAAGCAAGAGCCAGGTCACCCTTGCACCCCAAACTCCTGCTCATGTCACACTTCTTGAGGTCTTTCTTCATCTTAAAAAAAAAAAAAGCTCAGCAGCAGCTTAATTGGAAAATAATGAAGTCAGGTCTATGCGTAGGCAGAGCTGCCCTTTCACCAAAGTCTCTTCTAGCCCTTACCTGTGTCTGGTAAAGCAGCTGTTAGAGACACAGTTTCCACTCTTGATTGCATGAACTGTTAAATAAGGTCAAGGGGCATGGAAAAACCACACAGACCTGCATTTGAACAAGTACATGACTTGGGGCAGCTTGCTCCATTTCTCAACACTACTTTTTCTTACCTAATGAAGGGGCACTAACAGCCCACTGCTGGGTCATAGTAGGTGCTCCACAGGAGTTAATTCTCTATCCCATGGCAGGCTCACAACTGTCAGTTTGGAACTAATTTGCCGGTCTATCACCTCAGGATCTCCCCTTGCAAATATTCCACCCTCAGGACAGTTGGGTAGCTGCATGGAACTATCTCATTCTTTTCTCTCATGGACATGAGAAACTGACAAATGATCTCTGATATATAATGATGCATCCACAGAAACTATACTTAAGACTTTGAATTTTGCTCTTTTTCCCAGGTAGCAATCAGCATATAATCTTCTCTTGATGCTATGCTGAACAGTGACAAAAGTTCCCAGACAGCTGTGTGGTCACAGAGGACAACTGATCTGACACTCCACATGTGTATGCGACTAAGCTATGTTGTTAGCTAGATCAGGTGTAGTAAATGGATTTCCCACATACCATGCTTTTAATATATGATGAGGATGTGACTCCATTTTAACTGAAGGAGCATCTATCCTTCCATATGAGTTGTTTTTCTGTTGCTATGATAAAGTTCCACAATCAAAGGAAGAGAGGGTGTGTTTGGGCTTAAGGTACCAAAGGGCTATGCATCCATCATGGCAGAGAGGCATAACAGCAAGTAACAGGCATGATTACTGAAGCAGGAAGCTAAGAGCTTTCAACTCTACCACAGGCACAAAGCAGAAACAGCATACTGAAAGTAGGTGAGGCTTTTAATCTCAAAACCTGAACTCAGTTACATACACACAAATCTCCCCAAAACAGTACCACCAGCTGGAGACTAATGCCAGAGACTGTGAGGCATATTTCTCACTCAAACCACCACACCTCCTTAGGGAACATTTGCTTGGACTTGGCATCTAACTCCCTTCACATTCCTTGTCTGTGACATGAAGTTAATCCTATTTCTTCCTCATGAGGTCTTGGAAAGGCTAGAGGTGATAGGATATTCTTCCCATGACCATGCAGTGCATATCTGGTATGACAGACTGTGACAAAGCACAGAGTAAGCATCATCCCTGCATGTTTGAGGTTTTTAATCTGATTGTATGTGCTGCCACCTCTGTTGTTACCATTGCCATTATCATTAATGGTATGATAATGGATGTGAAAATAGAATTGCAGGAGCTGAGAGTACATCAGGTAAATGTGGGTGGGCATAGAAGACCTCAAAGAGAGCTGATAGCTGAGATTAGGTTTAAAGGTCAATGGAGCTAATGGCAGGAGATGTCAGGATACCTAGGACTCAAGAGCAGCTGGTGTGGCTGATGGATTTAAGGGCAGAGGTGATAGAGGGTGAGATAGCCAACTGTTACACAACCAGGACTATTCACACCATGGGACTGGAGAGGTTTCCATCATTAGTCACCTGCAAAATTCTCATTGCTGATCATTACCTACAAGCCATTGCTGATCAATACCTACAAGGTATTTATTTCCATTGCCTTCCCTGTATTTATGTTCTAGGGAACAAACATGGTATCCTGGCTGACATTATTTACCTTGTAGCATATGGGAGTAATAGTCAGTGTAATTCCACTCTTTCTAAGGGTACATATAACTGCCTTCTTTCACATTTTCTCTGGTGTGTAGTAGAGTGAGTGTAGAAATATGAACAGGGTAAGAGAGGTAACAAGTGAGTCAGGCTGGGTGTCTGCTAAGAGACCTTAACTAGGAGGCATTTCCTTGGGTTATTACATCCTTTTAATTCTACTATATCTATAATATTTAACATTTATTGAGCACTTCCTATGTGCCAAGCACTGTTACAATCCCCCTGTATATATTTTAGCAGAACAGCACCACCATTCATTTTACTGATGAGGGTACTCAGGCTAAATCTCCCATCTCAAGGCTCAGTATTGCTACCGGTGTTCCTGGTACCCTATGAGCCTTTCCAGAAGTGCTCTCTGTTTGGCCAGCTGATTGATCCAGATGCTGATGGGCTCATGTCCAAATTCATCACTGTGACCATAATCATCAACCCAGCTTGCACATAGAGGTCTATGCATTGAGGGCTATATTGACCCTTGCCTGAGGACACCCATTCAATTCTTACAAAACCCTATAAAATACACACTAAGTGCAGATCCTACTAAACCTTGGGGCCCCAGGGTTTGCTCAAGAGTACCAGCTGGTAAATGTCTAGGTTGGATCTGAATTCAGGACACCTGCAACAGAACTATGCTTCTGGTAGACTCTGCTGTAACCTACAACCCATATTTTAACTCAGTGCCCACATGTGGCAAGCTTTCTATGATTTCTAGCCATTGTTGCTAACACTGAAAGATGATGAACATTCACTTGAGATGTTGAGGATTTTAAGAGATGATAGAGAATAGAGGCTACAGGGCAGAGCCAGGCTCATGGTCAATAAACTGTAGCTATCATCATCATCATCATCATTGTCATTAAGATTTACTCTCCAAAGTTCATTCTTAGATGCTCTTTCTCACGTACTCTTCTGTGACTGATAGGCCCTCCCTCTGGGTATGTCATCAGTTAAAATCACCCATCTTGCTGGGGCTTGGGAGAACCTCCTGCTGGTAGATGACCTTGATTGTCTGACCTCGTCCCTCATGGATTTGTTTTGTGGCTTTGACTGTCTGACATCATTCTTTATGGCTCTGTCTTGTGGCTACACTCTCACCCTCTATATCTCTCTGCCTCCCTCCCTCCTCCTTCTGCTCTAGAGCTTTGTGCTTATATCTGCTCATTTAAGCTCTATGCCCAATGTCCATGTATCTGGCTTCATTCATATGTATTAGTTGTAGAACATGTTATCTTAGTCCTCTTAATACCCACATACATAAAGCATCAATTGCTATAAAGATATAGAAACAAAAGCCAAGAGAACTAAGAAAATTGCCTATGATTATGCAATTACAGAAGTGCTGGAGTCCAGATAGAATAAGTAATTCTTGTCTCACAGTTCAGCCTCCCTTCAAACTCAGATCCCATGGGAGGTATCAGACCACTTTGTTGAAAACCTTGTTAGTTATCTCTTCTTAAAACAGAAGAATAAATAGTCATGCTCCCCTATGGTAAACATATAGCTGGAATGACCAGCACACCCCATGTGCTGGTCACAGACTTCCTAGCATATTCTGGAATCCACTACTGTTTATTTTATTTGCACCCTACATAACAGCCCCCACATGCACTGATAGTATTGGCTTATTCCCACAGCAGCTTGAAGTCAAACCCCACCCAGATACATAGAAAGACCCAGACAGATGATAACCCTCACAACCAGTGTTTTCTGGTCAAAATGCAACAGTGCTTTCTCATTTTTCTGGGCCTCCAAGATACATTGATTTCCTGATTTTATTTTCACAAAGAGAACACCGAGCTGGGTTTGTGATAGATGTCTATACCCATGGCCTTGGGAGGATAAATCCTTTTTTTGAGGGGTGTGCTGAGTGAGTAGAATGCTTAAAAACAGGATCTGGAATTAGATAGTTAATCCTTTGCTGGAAACTGGCAAGTAGCTTGAATCTTATTTTCAGACAATTTGTGACTAGTGTGACTCCTAGAGAGGTCTAATTGGAAAACATGGATCTTCTCTCCTAGCTCCTAACCATCCATTAGGAAAAGGGCTAGCTGCTGATTCTTTCCTATAAACCATATGTCTTAGTTTGCTTTCTATTGCTGTGGCCAAAAGCAACTCAGCAGACAGAAGAGGTCCTTCAGCTTAGAGCTTACAGTTCTTCATGAAAGGAAGTCAGAGCAGGAGTTCGAGACAATCAGGACTAGAGACAGGAAGGCGTGGAGGAATGCTACTTACTGGCTTGCTCCCAGGCTCATATCCAACTACCTTCTTAACCTCCCAGGACCACCTGACCAGAGATAGGAACACCCACAGTAGCCTGGACCCTCCCATATCAATCGTCAATTAAGAAAATGCCCCCATGGGACATGCCCGCAAGCCAGTCTGATGGAGGCTGGCCATTAGTCATCCTCACAAGATAGAAACTTGACGTGACATCAAAGGCACCTTATATCTCTGCCTACCTCTCTTTCAGGAAGTCTGTCATCCAGCTTGACCTTGCCAACACCAAGAAAGCAATGATTGTCCCCGCATTTGAGACACTGCGCTACCGACTCTCTTTCCCCAAGTCAAAAGCAGAGCTGCTGTCAATGTTGGACATGGGGACTCTATTCACATTCAGGTGAGTGACCCTCACAGCAGTCATCTGGGGTTTCCAAGGGACTTTTCTCCCAGGACACCAGATGTCAAAGATGTTGGCAAAGAAGTCGGTGTGTTATATTGTGTCCAGTATAAAACCAAAGAGAGATGCTCAGCCCAATGTCCTTGGGACTCTGTCTGCCCTCTCTCCCTGACATGTTATTTACTTTGCTTTATACATGGATGGTAGGCACTGTGTCCAGATGGAAAGAGAGTTTTTCTGGGACAAGAAGTCACACATTTATTTTCATACTTTAAAAGAAATGACAAATTCCATTTAGGGCTTTTTCACTATCCCTTAGGCTCAGAGTTCTGTCTTTGGTATCATGGCAGTGTTCTCTAGAGGAACAGAACTAATAGAATAAATATATATTTAGAATGAATTTATTAGATTACTATATGCAATACAATCAGATTGGTCCAACAACAGCTGTCTCTATTGGAGAAGCCAAGAATCTAATAGTTGCCCAGTCCAGGAGGCTGATACCACAGCAATACCAACCTTATGCCAAAGTACTGGAAGATTCCTGCTCTAAAGTACACATTGGAAGCCTGAAGAAGTTCGTTCGAATATCACAGAAGGAGCTGGTAGATAAATTGGTCAGAAGAGTGAAAGCCAAGTGAGCAAAAAGCTTTCCTTCTTTCAGGTCTGGCTACTGCCAGAAGGCAGCACCCACATTTAGGGAAGGTATCAAGACAATCCCCATATAGACATTCCCACAGGCCAACCCAATGTGTACAATCCCTCATTGAGACCTCCTTGTGTCAAGCTGACAATTAAAAACATCATAGTGCATTAATGCTCTTGGTAAGGGGGTTTCTCTCTGAGATCCCTGGTGCAATTTCTTTCTTTTTCTTTTCTTTGTATGTGTGTGTGTGTGTGTGTGTGTGTGTGTGTGTGTGTGTGTGTGTGTGTGTGTATGTGTGTATGCACACATGTATGTGAGTAGTCTAATCTCCAAGCTGTTAAGGCATGGATCAGGCATCTAAATTCATCACCTAAAAATTATGGTCATCTATGGGACTCCAAAGTTGCACACAACTGATGTAAGATCCTACTTCTCTGCTGCCCAGTTACAGCTTTGAGCAAAACCATTGGTTTTCTCATTCCCAGACCCCAAGGCCTGTATGGGCATTCAGGGAGCTATGCTATGTCCAGAGTGCCCTAGCAATCATCTGCACAAATATTAATGGGCTCCATCTCCTGGGGACAGACTCTAACATTATAAGTGTGGCAATCAGGACTAGAGGAGTAGAAATCCTGCTGATCTCTTCCAGATAGAACAGTATGAAAACATCAATTGCATCTCCCTGTTTCTGCTAAGATTTCACATTCCTCAATTTCATACAATGTAGAAATGACCACTCCTTCTCTAAGTTAAAAAAACATGCAGTTTTGAGTAGCCTGAATTGTGCTCAAGGACTTTAAGCATAACAACTGGGTTGTCATGATACTATAAAACTTCTGAAATGCTTTCTCAAACTGATTGTGAGTAAGGATATTCATTCCATAGCACCATATTTATTCATCTTCATATTTTATGGGGAGTGGAGAGCTCCTAGTGAAGCCAGGACTCAATATCCAGCCTTTATCTTCCATCCAGATCTCTAGAAAGGAACCTAGAAGAGTTCATCCCCCAAAGCCATCCCTTCCTATTTCCCAGAAAATTCATGCTTCAGTGTACCAGGCATTTGGATGAACATAATCCTTACAACAAATATGAAGTGGATACTAATTCCTATTTTGTGGTGAAGACACTGAGCCTATGAGAGTTCAAATAATCTTCTCAGTGACACATGGCTGATAAGTGGCAGAATGAGGATTCAACCTGAGGAAGCCCCAGGCTTGTGTTCTTAACTAAAAAAGCACTGGGCTGCTGACAATCCCTTCATTTTCATGCCAGTTCTTGTTTAAGAACACAAAATCACAAATTGGTTCTGGAAATTGAGATTTGAGACCAAATCTTCATATGAGTTTCCCACAGTCACTGTAGCTCAATATCTGAATGCTTGGGAAATTTCCAAGGTTTTCCACCTGCCATCTTCAACCCCAGGACATGTGAGAACTCATTTCATGGTCGTATTTAAGGGCATGAGAGGTGGGATCTAGCCTGCTGTATCCATGATTACACTGCTCTGGCCAATAGCTTGCAAGCCACCATGCCAAGTGCTAAATTACAGACCTCCCCTCTGAGAAATTGCTTTTGTCAACTGCTCTCCAAGGAAACCTCCTCACCATACCTGGCATGAGAAGTTCCTACACTGCTCTTCATCCTCCAGGAACATGGTGCTCAGAGTATGTATGGCCCCTGGGCCAATAGCATCACATTTACTGGGACCTTGTTATGAATACAGTTTCTGACCATAACCCCTGCTGTTAAAACTAGTCCTTCACATGTCTCAAGTTTGAGAACATGGCTCAGAGAGCTCAGCTCTTTCTTCCCCATAACATTATCTCTGGTGTACTGGGTAACCCCACTCATCATCTCAGCTCTGCTTTTGAGGTTGCCTGGTATTTCTAGACCCTGTGGTCTAGTGTCTACTGAACTGACAGTGAACAGAAAGTTCCCCAGGCAGTCTTTAGACTGTGATGTGAGCCTGTGTATTGTTGATTGTAACTTTACTGCATTCTGTTCTGTCCATCCATTTGGCATGCTGTAAGCAGTCCAGACAGAGTGAATAGAATCTGCTTCCCTAGCCAGATAAGCAGAATTGATTCAGCTGTCCCTGGCCTCCCTTTCTCTTTTATTTCCCTTCTTTTTCATATTGTATAGTTAGTCAAGAGTTCAGATTCTAAGGATGGATAACAAAGGAAATGGTCATAAATCTCTTGATATCATAGAAAGCAAGACCATTGTGAACTGACATCATATTTAGGAGCCAAACAGAGAAATAATGAGACCATGCTCACTCTTTAAAGAATTAACTATTAGGATGTGTCAAACACTGTCACAATTACTTTATGAGAATTACTCCATAATAAAAGTTGGTATTATTATCTCTTGCTTTACCAGGAGAAAGTAACAAAGTATTTAACCTGTCCACAACTGCTAAATGAAAGGATGTGAACCCAGGCAAGCTGCCATCAACAGCCATTATCTTTAACCATTTTGTTTAACTCCCTAGCAGGGTACCAGCATTTATGGAGTGCCTTCTGCATGCTAGTCCTTGCCAGTGTTTCTAGAATTGTCCCACTTAAGCTCCTGGACAGTTTATCATGATAGGTATGATTTTTCCCAGCCCACATGGGAGGAAACTAAAGTCCTATTAAGGTACTTCATTTTTCAGGGTCTGCTGTTCCTACATGGCAGAACTGGGAGTTGAACCTTGGTCCAGAGTACCTACTGTGCTATGCTTGGAACCTAATATAAAGTCCCAGTCATCACTTATGCTGTGTCTGTTCTGTCAAAGGCACCAGATATCAAAACTGCCTAGTCAACAAATTCTCAAATAGAAAATCAACTGCTTCATTCCTAATTTTTAGATTAGATCTGCGATCTAATTGACATCTCACAATATCCTTTCCATGCTCCATTAAAGTAGCAGAATCTCTTCCCCCACCCCCTTCTCTCTCACATATCTCGCGTTAGTGAACATTGCTACGTTGATGGAAGCAAAGCTCAAGTCCCTGCCTTCCTCCAGCCTGTCCATCCCACCCAGCAACACATTGAGTCTGCTGGGGATGGTTTCATGATAGTCTAGCAGAAGTCCATCCTCTTTGATGAAACAAAGAATTAGGGAAGAGTTTCAGCCCTGCCACTGGAAGGACACCTGCCTTGGGGCCTTCACTATCATAGCCGTTCTTGCTTTACAGAGATGTTCCTAAGGAGATTAGAGAAACCCCTTATCTGTATTCTTCTCTCCTGCAGCTAAGCTATTGGGTCTCACCCTTCCTGTCTTCCTTTCATTTCACAAAGCTTTTCCATCTACCCCTGGTGTCTTAGTTAGGGTTTCTGTTGCTGCGACAAATGACAAAAAGCAAGTTGGAAAGGAAAGGATCTATTTGGCTTATGCTTCAACATTGATGTTCATCACTGAAGGAAGTCAGTACAGGAACTCAAACAAGACAGGATCCTGGAGGCAGGAGCTGATACAGACGCCATGGAGAGGTGCTACTTAATGGCTTGTTTCTCCTGACTTACTCAGCCTGCTTTCTTATAGAACCCAGGACCACAAGCCCAGGAATGGCACCACCCACCATGGCTGGGCCCTCCCCCATTGATTACTAATTGAGAAAATGCCTTACATCTGGATCTCATGGAGGCATTTCCTCAACTGAAGCTTCTTCCTCTCTGATAAGTCTAGCTTATGTCAAGTTGCCACACAAAACTAACCAGTACACCTGGGTACCATCTTTCCTAACCCCTTTTTGTTGCCCCAACTGTAGCTTCATTTCACTGCCTGCATCCACCTTCCCCATGACTTGCAGTGACAAAGTCCCACCCCATTCAATAATCTATCTTTCAGATACCTCTCAAATTTTAGAGTCTCCATCCACTCTCACATCATGAAGTTGGATGCACAGAAGAGAACAGAGCATCAACCTAGTGATATGGGAGGAGAGAGCCTTGGATCTTAGAGCTGACAGGAAATCTTCTGAGACGAGTTGGGAAAGGGGAACCTAAGAAGGAATGTGGTACATTACGAGACATAGAGTATGCACATAGTCCTAATCTGAAGAGGTTTCAGCCACAACCCCTTGCTCCCTCTACTCTTGTATGAGTGTTGAGGGCAGTGGCATACAAGCTGGCCTTTGGGCTAGGCTACCTGGGCTTTATTACTATTTGCAACCCAGCATTGGGTACATTTTTAGAATTTAAAACAATATGCATCTACAGCATTTAAAATAGTCCCAACCCATAGTAAATGTCTAACAAATACAATTTTCTGATTGTTGTGCACTCATTCATTTCTCACTGCCATATTAACAAATTACCACAAACAAATCATTGTAAAGAAATGCAGACTCACAACTTCACTGTC